TTTCTTTGGCGAATACCAAGCATGTGGAGAGTTCAGGTAGCAGCGCAGCTAGGGCTGATGGTCGGCGGCTCACTCAGAACGCGTTGCATCACAAGTTGCGAAGGGAGATATGTTTCAAGGGTGAGCAGGAATGGAATCACATCCACCATGGCCGGAACGCACAATTACAACAGTCGGGGGTCGACGAAGAAGACGGAGAGGACGCCATGGATGAAGGGGAACCAACCAATGGCGAACAAGAGGTGGGAGGTGAACAGAAAAAAAAGATTGAGGCCCTGCACCTCTCGATGCACCTCTCGATCTACAGTGATGTAGGGGTCTCTTCGAACATGAATGTGAGTTTGGAGCGTTCCTCATTACATAGTCATGGTAGCATAGTGCGGCTGGTGACATGGGGGAAGTTGAAAGAGGATCTGAATTGGGTAAACAAGGAGTTGGGCCATGCTTTATTTCCGGCCCAAACTCTTAGTTCAGAAATTACATACTTGGCCCAATTTGAAGGGAGTAATTGCTCTAAGGCTGTTTTATGTAAGGAATGGGCATGGGAGCCAACAAGTCCGATTGCGTTAAACGGGCCCAAAAACTGTGGGCATCACCAACGTGGGCTGCAATGGGTTTTCCAAGAATATGGAATCTGATAGGACCCAACTTAATAAAGCCCAATATGGCAAGGTAAATGTGGTTGTGTCACAACCCAATACTGATGATGTATCACAGCCTAATGAGCATGCTGAGTCAGCTTGTTTGTTAGGGAAGTTGTTACACATGCTGAGAGGTTAGATGATAAATAGGGGACGTGAAGAAGGAATGGGCACCATGGAGGTCATTTGGATTGCTGAGGCAAATTGGGAGATCTCAGGGCATCTCAAAAGTCCCTGAAGCATTTACATTCTGCTGATTTCTTTTCTTTATTTCTTTATGCACAATCTGAGCTATAGCAGCACTATAGCATGTAATTAGATTCTGTTCATGCTGAATATTGTTGAGTTAACTGGTTTCTGTTTAATATAGAGGAATTATTCTGGGATTACTCTTGTTTATTTGCTTGATTCCTATCACATCATCATCATCAACTTTGTTAGCTAACACCTGCTTATCTCTAGTTGTTCCAATGATTCTACTACCCTTTCCAAAACCAATCATGATCTCCAACTAAAACTTCTAGTTGATATGGATCATTAACATCATCAAGAACAATAAGAACCTTCATACGACGAAGCCTCCTCATAACATAATCAGGCAATCCATTTGGTGCATTAATTTTCACACCTTCTGCTAAAAGTGTAGAGAACAGTTTTTCTTTCAAAGAAATTATTCCATGTCTTGTTGATTCTTCTCTTACGTTTGCCAAAAAACAACAACCTTCATATTCAGAACTTAGTTTTTTTAAAACTTGTTCTGCCATGGTTGTCTTACCAATACTGCCCATACCCCAAATTCCAATAACACGCACGTCTTTTGAATCTTGACGGAACAATGATTCTAAATGTGCAATTGGTTTTCCAATTCCAAAAAGTCCTTTTGAATGAATTGGCTGCTTATTTAACCTCATCATGAATTCATGATTGACTTTTTTGATGATTTCATCAAGCAGCTCGACATCATCCCTATAAAACGGAGAGAGCGAGATAGAGAGCAAATGTAAGAAATGTAATGAAATTTCTATAACCTCACTTAGAAATGTGATGATGATATTTCTATAACACCAATGTGAGCAAGTAAATTCCAATAAGTCCTTTTTTATGCTTTTACACTAGTTTTTAACAACAATAAATAAGCGTACATTCTGGTTAAACAGTTTTTAAATAAAAGTTTTAATTTTAAGCAACAACCTATGGATAATATACATAGATCTATATAACAAATGAGCAGAAAAATAATATTTCACATTTGTTGGGAGAAAATGAAAAGCTTACCGGAAATCTGATGACTTAATTCCAGATAAATTTGCAGATTTGTTCAAAGCATCCCTCCATAATTGCACCCTTATCAAATTATACTTTTTTTCATGTTTAGCAAGCGCATTTCCATATCTCTCCTTTTGATGTCGTACATTTGTCGGATCTACATTGTAGAAAATAGGTATTACAGTCTGTCCATATTTCTCTCTGCACTCCACTATTTTCTCAAGTTCTTCCAAACACCAATGTGAAGAAGCATAGTCTCCTGAGAATATGATCAATGAAATTAATGATGTTTCGATTGCTCCAAAAAGTGATGATGATATTTCATCTCCTCTTTTAAGTTTATCATCTACAAAGGCATCTATTTGGTTTCGAAGAAAAGCATCAATCATATGACTGAGAAAATCATGGCGAATGTCCTTGCCCCTGAAGCTAACAAAAACATCATACTTTATTTTAGGAGTGTTGTCTGACAATTGTTTTGCCGCTACACCCTTCAATTTTTAAAATAACCAAGAGATGAATAAATACAAAATACCAAGATATAATAAAGTAAAATGAAATACAACATATTCAATTTTTGAAATAACCAGAGACAAAGAATATGCTAGTTGGATTGAAACAAGAGCACTCTGTATCTTTCTTTGCCTCTAAACCCTTGAATATCAAAATAAGGGAGCCACGAGGTAACTGTATAAAAGAAGAAAGAGAGAAAACAAATAAAAAGATCAAAGAACTTGAAGAATATAACATATGAATATACCTGATTGGAAGCATCGGAGGAGTCCAATGCAGCAGTTGGTTTCTCAAGCACAGCCTTGTCAGATGAGTTTTTCTTCCAGGGCCAGCATCGGTCCATCTGATACTATAAACAGCTATATCAGGGTTTTACCAGTTGGCAATGCAAAATTCTCGTACTAGTACAGAACAGACTGTGATCCAAACTCGATAATCAATTCCATCCTATCACAAAACACTATCTCGTCTTACTACCACGGGAACGATTCTATTTTACCCTCTTTTCATTGAACCAACGCCGTTCACAATAATTAGATTTGAATGACGACAATACAACCCGTAATAAGTTTTTAACACGAATATTCAAGTAGGAATTTACACCTCAAAATTTTCAACATCTTTTTTTTTTTTTTATAGAAAAACAAACAAGTTTAAATTAGCGGTTAGCCAAAAGGAGAGGAAGGAGAACTTAGGATACATCACGCCAAAATCTAGATTAAAGAGTAGGAGTGTCCAATGCTTTATAATTGTATGGAAAACTAATGTGGGACTTTAAGTCCCATATCTTACAAATGAGAATATAACATTCCACCATGCTCCACAATCTCATGCCCACGCGGGTTAACTTTATGCTAGTCTTTTACTAAACCTAGATGAACACTGCAATGCCGGCATTAATTACCACCCGCACCGCCTCGATTGTGGCCAAGAGACATATTGGAAGACTCTATATCATTTGATAAGAACCTTAAGATACACCACCCAAACTAACTCAAAAAGTGAAAGTGTCTAAAGCCTTATAAACCCCACATTAATTGTCCATACAATTAAATGGAACTTTAAATACCTTGCGAATGGGATCGTAACAATATCATATGACAATACCAGCTCCTTCTGGATTTGCAAGCTTTCAAATTAAGCCTTAATGTTGATCCAACAATCATGATAAATAATCTTTAGTCTTTAAAAACAAGTAAGCATGTTACCCCAAAAAGAAAAACAACCAAGCAAGAAATTTCTCTGCTTGATCTTTTACTATTTCATTCTTCTTTTCTTTGTTTCCCACCTTTTCTTTTGCCGAAAAAGAATAAATGATGTAGATCTGTGAAAGCAATTACTAACCTCGATTGTTTCACCGAATTGATGCAGTGGCTGATTAGGTATCAGATTCAAGTCTTGCTCATATATGTTGGAGCAGCAACCATCTTGATCAGCAGTTTTATAGATAGAAGATGCAATTTCATTGACCGTATTACAAAACCTAGAAGCAATTGCACACTTACACTCTCCCAGATAGCACTGGATTTAGATTTATATTAAGGAAATAAAAAAGTCACCTCTATATGAATATAAATTAATTAAAGCGGTGCATAATAAAGGGAAAAGTTAACACGCCAAACGCTGTCCGGGTTGGAATCATTTCCATGAACCTATTGCCAGAATGCCAAATTGACAACTTGCTGCCTTTAATAGAACAATTCAATTCGATGTTAGATAAGAACATCGACGTTAAAAATTAGCGTAAAAACATAAAAATTTGTTCCAAGTAAAAACTAGTGTTAAAAACTTGTTTTTACACTTTTACTGAAGTGATCCATGTTAAAACGCAAATAAAAACTCTTTCCATTAATGGTAGAAACTTAAGTTTTTACGTAAACCAAAAAATTGAACCTCGTCAACTTTTAACCCTGACCTAGTTTTATTTTTATTTTTAAAAAAAAACCTTATTTCTCATTCTCCTAAATCAAAATGCACAATATCCTCTTTTAGCTATATAAAAACAAAAATAACTTACATATATAACTATAATAAGTAAGTACTTTTAAACTTTTTTTGTGTTTTTGAATTTATATCTTATATATTATATAGTTATGTGACTTGTAACATACCGTCTCAAGTCAATTTGTTAACTTACAATATGGTAATAAAAGTGCAACTTACTTAAATTAATTAGCGAAAAAATTTTATCACAATAGCTTATCACAACTACGTGACTTCAACTTTTCTTTCTTTTATGTTCACATTATGTAAATTGTCATTGTAACATCCTCGTCTCGAGCCGGTTTAATTAACATACATATGATATTAACCAGAAACAACGGAAGACTTAACTTACGAAAATACAAGTTAACTTTTTCTTTTTCTTTAATCCTTTTTCATATGATATATCACATTGCATACTTCATCAAGTTTAATTCTTATTTGACGGAGACGAAAATCGGACAAACGAGAATTTGCAAATCTCACTCTCAAGGTATCCTAATAAACAGTTTATACAATATATGATTTCAGAAATACCAGATATCCATATAGGACCTACCCATCCATGGGCACATGCACAACTTGGCTTCGTGCCACTATCTAACAACATGCATATCCAACATGTAATCATATAACTGAATACTATATCATAATATAAACATGCCTGAATACACAATTGTACATGCATCAAAGTGGAAAACATGTACAAAACATATACATGCCATATACAAAGTAACACATCAGATATCATGATCCACCAAAATAAATGGAATACTAATGCAAATCACAATTCTCCAAAATAATAGAAGTAGACTGCTACCCAAAAATTCGGTCCGCGATGCACTTTATCCACGGGTTGTATCCTTGCCCCATGTAGGCTCACTGGCAATCTGTGCACCTGAAATGATGTCTCCAAACGGGGTGAGATAACAAATCTCAATAAGCTCTAGGTTTATAGAGAATTCTCCATATCCCTAGGCCCACTCCTGCATAAAAGTCAGATACAGAGTATACAAAGCATCATATAACAGATATCATAACTGAACAGAACATATATACATTTATCTTGCTCTAAAGGAATCCAAATGCTCACAGTCGCTAGGCACACCTAGAGAAAGAATCAATAACAAAATAAAATGCTACAATGCCATGTAATTACAAGACATACACTTTATTGATTTACTTTCATTTCTTCACATTTATGCCAATCCTATGCCAATTCACAAGTCAAGACCTTACTTTCATAAAATCATTTATTAGACCATTTTAAGGAGGATTACTTGAACCACAAGCACCCACATGGTTTCATACTCATATAGGGTCTTAAAATGACCCAACCAAGCTTCTAAATATCCTTTACCATCCTTTCTTTAATAATTTCTAACCCCAAAAATCATACAATGGCCGAAACCAATAACAAAGGAAACTAGAGATTTTCATCAATTCATTTCATACCATCAAAGGTTCCTAAATTATTTATGCATTCCCTTTAACAATTTACACACAACTTAGGCATATTTTCCTTCACAAGGTCGAGGCATTCATACAAGGAACCAAGATGCCTTTTGTCATTTCTTAAACCCTTTCACTTCAAAATTATACTAAAGTCATGCATTAGAACCTAAATACATCATCAAAGTAATTTTTAACATAATCAATCCCACTTGTACCATAATGGCCGAAATCCACAAGGAGGATTTCCAAGGGATTTTTCACTTTGTATTATCACTTTTACACTTAAATCTCAACATACACCAACATACCAACCTTCACAATTCATGCAATTAAATTTTTGCACACCAATCCCAATTACCCTAACATGGCCGAAATCTAGGGTAGCAAATACAATGGAATTTTTCCAACATTTCACTTGTTCACATACTGATATCACATTCCCACAACTAAAACAACCATGTTCAAAGGATGTGTTATGTTACGTTTTTAGTTCCAGCTATTAGATTCATTGGATTACGATTACCATTTTATTGCGTTTAATATAAATATTTGGGATATCTTATATTTCTTTGCAAAATTGGTGGTTAATAAGTTTAGCTTCATTTTTTTTTTGTTAAACTATTGAATATTAAATATAATATACACTACATAAATTAAAAATATTATTTAATATTAAAACATGTCTTAATGTGTCGAAATCTAATATTTTTTAGAATTAACGTGTCAGAATGTCATGTCGTGTCATATCGCTGTCTCGTATCGGTATCAATGCTATATGGGTTACCACAATATTCAAACTCATTTACACAAGTCTCCTGATATATACACACTTCTAAAGAATCCAACGTGCAAAAACTCGGCTTTCTAATCAGCCTTGCTTGAGTAATCTTGGCGACAGGGGAAAATGTATCAAAAAAATCAATTCCCTCTTGTTGAGTAAAACCTTGAGCAACTAGCCTTGCTTTATACCTTTCTAAAGAGCCATCAGCCTTAAGTTTGACCTTGTAAATCCATTTACAGCCAATGGGGCGTTTGTCAGGAGGTAAAGAAACCAGTGACCAGGTATGATTAGCCTCCAAAGCATCAATTTCAAGCTGCATTGCCGCACGCCAAGCAGGAACCTTAACAGCCTCAGAAAAGGAAGAAGGCTCAGGATGAAGGGTAACGGAATTTACAAAAGCAGCATAAGAAGGTGATAATCGAGAAGTGTTTAAAACAGCAGCCAAAGGGTAGGTGGCGGTGGAAGTGGAAGTAGAACAAATATAGTCTTTGAGGTAAGAAGGAGGTTTGATAGTACGGGTGGATGTTTGTATAGGTAGGGGATCATGAATAGGTAAAACCAGATCAGAAAATATATCAGTGGATGGAGGAGGTAAGTGTTTAAAAGGAAACTCAGTTTCATGGAACACAATATCTCTGGTTATAAAAATTCGATTGGAGGACATATCAAGCACTTTGTAAGCTTTGTAGCCTGGAGGATATCCAATGAAAACAACTGGAATGGCTCTGGCAGAAAACTTGTGACGATCACGAGGCAGTGTTGAAGCAAAACAAAGACATCCAAAAGTTCGGAGATGAGTATAGGAGGGTGGTTTACCCATTAGAACTTCAAAAGGAGTTTTGTTATTCAGCACGGGAGTAGGCAACCTGTTGATCAAATAACATGCAGTAAGCAAACAATCAGTCCAATAAGCTAGTGGAATATTGGATTGAATTTGTAAAGAACGAGCCACATTAAGCAAATGCTGATGTTTCCTCTCAACAACAGCATTTTGTTGAGGTCGATCCACACAGGAATGCTGATGATGAATACCCTTATCCTTGAAGTAGGAGGTGAAATTAAACTCAGGAGCATTGTCTGACCTCACAACCTTAATAGTGCTATGAAACTGATTAGCAACCATATTACAGAATTCAGGGAATATATGTAACACATCTGATTTGGCATGAAGGAAATAAACCCAAGTATGCCTGCTACAATCATCCACAATGGTTAGGAAAAAACGATATCCATCAGCAGAAAGAATAGAGAAAGGACCCCAAACATCCAAGTGAAGTAAATCAAAAGGTAAAGCAGCAATATTATTATTTGATGTAAAAGGCAAACGCCTCTGTTTTGACATGGGACAAACATGACATAAAGGAGACAAAACTGAAATAGAAGATATGCCTAAAACATTTTGCAATATCTGTAAACGAGATACAGATGGGTGACCAAGACGACTATGCCAAAGTGAAGAAAGAGTAGTTGAAGAAGCCAAAGCAGACGAAGGAAGAGGTGAAGCTTCTAAGACATAGAGATTGCCAAATCGATTAGCAGTCCCAATCGTCTGTCCCGTAGAACGATCCTGCAAAGTGCAAGAAGAATCAGTGAAGGACAAAATAAGAGGAAACGAAGATGTCAAAGTACTGACAGACAACAAATTATATTTAAAATCCGGAACAAAAAGAACGGAAGTTAGAGTGAGGTGAGAAGAAATACGAACAGAGCCAATACGACAAACAGGAATGGAAGTACCATTCGGAAGATTGACAGAAAAATTGTGAATGGGAGAAAAAGAAATAAAAAATCGGAGATCACAACAGATATGGTGAGTAGCGCCTGTGTCAAGGAGCCAAGAAGAAGAAGAAATAGTGGAAATCTCACCAGAAACGTGGGCAACGGATGAGACGGATGCGTGTTGATGAGGATCTGACACAGTGGTGGTGGCAGATGGAGGATGAGACACGGATGATGGAGAATGGAGAAGAGCAAGAAGTTGGGATATTTGGTGTGGGCTGAGAGTGGGAGTTGGACTGATAGGCCCAACAGAAGGCAAAAGCCCATTACCCATCAAAGATGCAGTACAGTTTGGGGCTGAAATGGGTGCTCCATTACCCATCAGAGAGGCAGTAGAATTTGGGGCTGAACTGGGTGCTATAGGATATCGTTTTCCCTTCCATCCAGGTGGGTACCCATGGATGCGAAAGCATTTCTCAATCGTATGACCATTCTGATTGCAGTGTGTGCAAATTGGTCGGCGTTTACCCAAAGCCTGAGAAGCCAGGGTAGCATTGTCAGATGAAGCAGGGACGGCATGGATGAGTGGTGCAGCAGAAGGAAAACCACATTGAATGTTACGTTGACGTTCCTCTTGGATTACCAGAGAAAACACTTTTGCAAGGGAAGGCAAAGGCTCCATCAGAAGGATCTGAGCACGGGTTGAAGAAAAAGAATCATTCAAACCCATCAGAAATTGTAAGGCACGTTCCTGTTCACGAAAAAGAATCCAAGATTTCATTCCTCCACAAGTGCAATTAGGAATCGGTTCAAATTCCTTCAACTCATCCCAGAGGATTTTCAGCCGAGTGTAATAGGAATTAACATCAAGAGGACCTTGAACTAATGTCGAAATTTGAGATTTGAGTTGAAAAACACGTGGACCATTCCCTTGTTGAAACCGATCCTTAAGATCAGTCCAGAGGCTAGCTGCGGAAGGTGAATAAAGAAGACTATCAGCAATCTCTCTGACCACCGAATTGAGCAACCAAGAGGTGACCATACTGTTGCATCGAGTCCAAAAAGAAAAAAGCAAATCATCTGGATCTGGGGAAGGAAGGGTGCCATCGATGAATTGAACCTTGTTTTTGGCAGTGAGGGCCATATACATTGCTCTGCTCCAGGTGTGGTAATTGGTCCCATTGAGAAGATGAGTAACAAGAACCAAGCCGGGATGATCGGCACTATGTAAATAATAAGGACTGGATGTGTCCTCAATGGGAGAGGAAGATGGAGCAGTGGATTTGTTGGCTTGACCCTTAGCCATGGCAACGAAAACTTAGAAGAAAAATGAAGAACACAGAGAGCTCTTGATACCATTTTACAAGAAAAAATCATTCTCCTTTATTCAATCTATCTGAATTACAAAAAGAGGAGAGCTATATACAAAATGCTCTCATAACAGAAAAGCCAAAACTAACGCACCTATTGTGCCAATGCCACTCAGCAATAACAAACTTTCCCATGTATGTATCTATGACAGCTACCATCTATGCATCATAACCATCATGCTATGTACACTAAACAAAACATAATAAACAGAAAAACTAAATGCAAAATATATTTATCTTGATATTTTCCACAAAGAAGATGACCAAAAACTTTAATAACTAATGGAATGCATTTGGCATAATTGACCACCTTCTTTGATTGCTCATAGTACTCCATTTCAAGATGATTTCGTTTGAAGGCATTCAAATTGAAAAGCTTAAGTGCTTCTTCAAAATCCAATGCCCCTACCTCATATATATCATCATCATCAACAACTTCATTCATAAGCACTTGTTTATCTCTAGTTGTAATAATGATTCTACTACCTGTTCCAAACCAATCATGATCTCCAACTAAAACTTCTAGTTGATCTGGATCATTAACATCATCAAGAACAATAAGAACCTTCATGCGACCAAGCCTCAACATAACATAATCGGGCAATTCATTTGTTGTGTTAATTTTCACATCTTCTGCTAAAAGTGTTGAAAAAAGTTTTTCTTTTAAGGAATTGGTTCCACCTGCTCTTGCAGATTCTTGCCTTACATTTGCCAAAAAACAACCTCCTTCATATTCAAAACTTAGTTTGTTAAATACTTCTTGTGCAATGGTTGTCTTTCCAATACCGCCCATACCCCAAATTCCAATAACACGAACGTCTTTTGAATCTTGACATAATAAAGATTCTAAATGTAAAATTGGTTTGTCAATTCCAACAAGTCCTTTTGAATGAACTGCGTGCTGTTTCAACCTCTTCAACTCAAGGTTGATGGTCTTGATGATTTCTTCAAGCAGCTCGGCATCATCTCTATACAACAAAAAGAGAGAAAGAGAAAATACATGAAATTCAATAAAATTACTATTATCTCACTTGGTTGTAAGTTTGTGGAGGGCGATTCACCTATGATCGAACATCCCTTCCCTTTCCCTTCCTGCTTAATGGGAATCCCCTAATAGGGTCAGGTACCAAAAAAAGAAAAAGGGACCTTGTCGGACGTATCTGGAAGTCTTGAAAAAATATATCCTTTGGAAATTGGAATTTATTTAATTGTGCAACTTGGGTCTAATTTAACCTCTGACTTTTGAATGAACCAACAAAGCTTAGCTTGTTCGATCTGAATCCTAGCAAGAACCAGTTGTGGCATTGACTAATATTTGCGGATGTAATAACTAATAAGTGTACATTATGGGGAAAAATTGTAAATAAGGTTTCTTTTTTTAAGTAACCAGCTTTTGATAATATGCATAGTGCTATAAAACAAAATAGTAGCGCATAAATATTTTAACATTTAGAAGGGAAAAAAATAACTTACCGAAAATCCAATGACTTAATTCCTGATAAATTTGCAGATTTGTTCAAAGCATCTCTCCATCTTTGCACCTTTGTCAAATTATACTTTTCTTCATGTTTAGCAAGCGCATTTCCATAACTCTCCTTTTGATGTCGTACATTTGTGGGATCTACATTGTAGAAAACAGGTATTACAGTCTGTCCATACTTCTCTCTGCATTTAACTATTTTCACAAGCTCTTCCAAACACCAATGTGAAGAAGCATAGTCTTTAGAGAATATGATCAACGAACAGAATGAGCCTTCAATTGCCGCAATAAGTGATGATGATATTTCATCTCCCCTCTGAAGCTTATCATCTACAAAGGCATATATTTGCTTCCGACGAAAATCCTTAATCAAATGGCTAAGCAAACCTCGGCGAATGTCCTTGCCCCTAAAGCTAACAAAAACATCATATTTCATTTTAGGAGCGTTGTCTGCCATTAACTTTGCCCCTACACCATACTTTATTCTAGGAGCCATTAACTTTGCCCCTACACCCTTCAATTTCGAAAATAAACAAGAGACAAATGAATACAACATACCAAGAAATAAAATAAAAAAAAAAAAATAAAAAGACAGAGAAATACGACAGATTAAATTTTTGGAATAACCAAGTGACAAATAATATGTTTGTTGGATTGGAACAAGCGCACTCTGTAACTTTCTTTGCCTCTAAAACCTTGAATATCAAAATAAGTGAGCCACAAGGTAAATGGAAAGAAGAAGAAAGAGAAAAAACAAATGAAAAGATCAAAGAACTTCAAAGAATAGAACTTTGTCTACATAACAAGTTCAAATTATCTGTTGACCAAAAAAAAAAAATAGAGAGGAAGGAGGAGGATATCATATGACAATACCAGCTCGTTCTCGATTAGCAAACTTTCAAATTAAGCCTTGATCTTAATCCAGTCTGTTAATCACGATCAATAACTGATAGTATTTAAACAAAAGTAAGCAAGCAATTTCTCTGCTTGATCATTTGCAATTTCATTTTTCTTTTCTTTGTTTTCCGCCTTATCTTTCTGGCCAAAAAAGAATAAATGACGGAGAACGATGTAAAGCAAATACTGACCTCAAAATTTTTGCCGAACAGATGTTTTGGTTGATTAGGTATCAGATTCAAGTCTTGCTCATATAAGTGGGACTGTGGGAGCAGCCTCAAGGTGGACCAGCAGTTCAATAGAAGGAAGGAGCAATTTCATTTGACCTTATACAGTTACAGCCTAAAAGGAGCAATTTCATTTTTTTTTTTAAATTTCAATTTTTAAAAATATAATTTCTACATTCAATTTACAATAAAGTTTAAAAAATTAGAATTTAAAAAAATTCAGTTTATAAAAAATCCTGAACAAACCCTTGGTACCAAAGGGCTTCTTAAAAGTGTATCCTAACGCTCACACTCACACCCTCCCGCATAGCACTAGATTTGTATATAGATTTATATTAAAAAAACATTAACATCACCTCTATATGAATAAAAAAATGATTAAAAGAGTGCATAACCAAGGGAAAAAGTTAATGCCCCAAACACGGTATGGGTTCGAATCAATTGAATGAACCAACTGGCATGCACTTTCATATATACGAAAGAGGGACACCGACGACGAAAGTATCACGTTTAGACAAAAAAATTATTAAACTGCCATGTTAATAGTAAATTTTGTCAAAATGTCATGCGGTATAATTCGTTACACAATGTAGCGAATTATACATACAAGTAATTCGCTATACAGTGTAGCGAAATATGCCACGTCAGAACACACATAACCAAAAATGTCACATGTCAAATTTTGCAAAATTTACTACATAGGGTAGCGAATTTCTCAAAATTTGACATGTGTCATTTTTAGTTCTGACGTGACATAATTCGCTATACTGTGTAGCGAATTACTTGCATACATAATTCGCTACACTGTGTAACGAATTATGCCGCGTGATATTTTAACAAAATTTACTGTTGGTGTACCAGTCTGGTAATTTTTTGTCCAAACATTAACAAAATAATATTTCTGTGTATGAAAGACGGTCTTTGAAAATTAGCAACACGCGGTCTTTGAAAGAAAAAAGTCAATTGGATGTTCGGTAACACTACTAGCATTAATTAATGTTCTTGTAGTTAAGAAACTTCTCACTCTTAGTACATACATTTAACAGGCCTTCAATTTCTCCATTTCTTTGCTAAATTTTAATATCTAGCTTTATTTTGTCTTTGACTAAATCTCCTATGAATTATAAGAGTTGATATTTTTATATCAAAAAAATTCACTATCAACCTATTATCTATTTAATTATTATTGGATCAGAAAAAAATCTTCAACTATTTATGAAAAGAAAAAAATACTGATCTAATAATAATTAAATAAGTAATAGAATGGTACTCTTTTTTTGGTAATAAAAATATTTCCCTCAAATTATAATACTCTGACTATCTAGATTTTTTCAATTTACTCCCTTAAGTTCGTCAAAATTATTATATTTAATATTGATTAATATAATATCCCTAACCTGATTAAATAGTAAATTATATATAGTTAAGTAATTAAGCTTGTATTAGTGGGTTGAATTAGATAAAATATCTAATTAAATAAATTAAGGGCACTTTTAAGATAAAAATACAGTCAGAGAAAATTATGGGATAAAAAATGTGTGAAGGAAAAGTACCCAAAATATAAAAGTAAAGTTAAAAACATTACTAGAAAAATATTTTAGACCAAATGGTTAAGTTTGGTGGTGAATGGAGGTGAATAGATAGACAAGCTTATACCCAGTTAAAATAACTTAACCTATGTTAAGTGTTAAAACCACTAAAACACCTCTCATTTGTTCATCTTCTTCGCTAGAAGGGTGAGGGAAGAGAGATGAAGCCATTGATGTTGAGCCAAAACCCTAGCTCCCTCATTCCTCCACCAAATTGATCTGTTCCAAAGTCTAAAGTGTGTCAAATCTCATCGTCTACAAAACTCATAGCTTGGTTCTTGTTGGGGATCATTGTATAGGGAGATATCTCACCATTCCCATTTCGAAAATTTGATAGATTTGAGTGATTGTGGGTGTTTTGTGTGCTTTAGAGCTTGAAGAATCACTCCCCAAGTATTCTAAGGTGATTTGGGGTAAGTTTCCACCATCCAACTCTTGTTTTCATGAAAATTTGAAGAATATAGGTTATGTGAATAGTGCCACACGAAAATTAATTGGTGTGATGTGTTGGGAGTTGATTTGATCATGTAACCTTTGTAAAAGTGGTTAGGAATGATAAATAAACGGTAAAAATGAGTTTATATTGTCATTTTAGCATGCTTTGATGTTTGAGAAAATTATGCTTGAAATTAAGGATGTTCTTGAATGGTAAGCCATTGTTTGATTGTGATCCTTGTATTGATAGGATTGAGGCAAGAGAACCAAGTGAAGTGACCAACCCTTGTGGTTGTGTTCAATTGAGAAAAGCAAAGCTTTGGGAAAATTTCAAGTGCAAGGTAAACCTTTGGACCTTAGGGTTGATCCCCTTGAATGTTCCACCATACTCCGTTCAGGAGGAATGGTTTATGAGGTGTGATATGTAATGATGATAGAAAATGTATGTTCATGTATTGATTCATGCATTGATAAATGTTATGATTGATTAATGATTATTGATTGAAGTTTGATTGTTTAAGAGTAATTGAGGAATGGTTAATAGAGGTAAAAATAATGAATGAGGTAATGGTTGAGGATTATGATTGATAGTATTATGATGAGGATGATTGGTAGAAACTTCCGTTGGAAACAACTCTATGTGGATCTCCATGTGGTCAGAGCCCAAGAGAAACAGCCCTAGATGGATCTCTCTTGGAGGTTCCTAGATTGAGGTTAGGGACTTCCCTTGGAAACAGTCCTATGTGGATCTCCATGTGGTAAGAGCCTAAGAGAAACAGCCCTTGAGGATCTCTCTTGGAAGCCCCTAGTATGAGTCCCTTGGAAACATCCCTATGCGGATCTCCTTGTGGTGAACACCTAAGAGAAACAGCCCTTTGAGGATCTCTCATGGAAGTCCATGTGAAGTGTATGGATAAGAATGTGTTAAGTTGTTATGATTATGTGTATACCGAAAGTGAACCTTAGGGTGGAGTTATCTCCAAGGACCCCTAGTTTACTGTGATATATTCGTATATCTCACCCCGTGTTGTGAGGCATCATTTCAGGTACTGATAGAGGTTAGGCTGAACGAGGCAAGAAGCATGAGTATATTGTACCTGATATAGGACATTTTGAGATTCCTTGCATATAGAAAACCTTATGTAATGGATATTTTGATGCATTAGTTGTATATGAATGCATGTAGGACTTAAAAGTTGATCATTGATGTTGTTTAGCCATTGTGCACCTATTTTGGGACTTTGATCACTTGTTATTTCTAAGTCTTTGATATGTAATCACTTTGAAGAACAATTATGTAATGGTATATTTGAATATGGATGTAATATGAATCATATTTTTATCTTTTAGATTGTAAAAGGATTGTTTAAGGTAGATGATGGAATGTTGAATCATATTTTATATATCCCTTGGGATTGTATAATGAATTATGAAAATGATGCAACTATGAAGCATTAAATGATGTAAGATTGTCAGTTATGGAGAGTGGGAAGTAATTCCCCAAAGAAAATAGGTGAAAACAAGGGAATGCATGTGTTGCCCAGTTAAAAGTGTTAAAACACTTAAATGAGCGTTAAAACACGCTCACTCTGAAGGAAAAAGGGTAAGTCCCCTATTGGAGAGCGTTACAACGTGCTATAGTGTTATTTCCTTCGGGTTCCGAGCGTTTTAGTGCGCTATGGAGCGTTGAAACGCGTAAAAAAATGCAAAGAATACCTGTGGTGGGCGTTAAAGCGCGCTATAGGACGTTACAACGCGCTATAGTGTTATTTTCTTCAGGTCCCAAGCGTTTTAACGCGCTGTTGAGCGTTGTAACGCGCTACCAGAATGAAAAATGGGTTCGATGAGCGCTTCGTAACACTCTGGAGAGCGTTAAAACGTGCTACCTGAAATCAGCACAGACATAGTTTAGTAAAAACTGAATAACTTGAGTTATGGTGCTCCAAATTGAGCACAGTTTGAACCCATGTGAAGATAACGAAGAGATCTATAACATAGCAGGAGATAAGAACTATAAAAAGAATTACATAATTTCTAGAGTAATAAAAGAAATAAAGATATTGGGTAATGAATTGAATAAAATGAGTTTTAAGCCTTGTTGGTCCAAAAGGGACTACTTGACACGTTGTGATAGCAAAGTATAGTTTAATAAAATAAGAATATGATATTAAGCTTAGTTTTATTTATTCTGCAACTTCATTCGGTTGTAGTCACGAAATTGGTTATTATAAATTCGGTTTTTCCAAATGAAGGATAAACAAATTTACAAAAGAAAAATTTATCCGAGTTTTTAATTGAACCAATGTGATTGTAACTGCGTTTAATATCATAAAACAATGTTAACATTTCCGGGTGTACAACGAGGTGTTACAATTAATTATTAACTTAACACAATTCAGTGACTAAAAAACTCACCTATACCAAATTGTGGTACATTAGTTAGTGCATGTGAGCTGAGTAGGGAATGAAAAGACCTAAGTTTGATTCCCACCAATATCACCTTTGGAAGGGACATAAAATTTTAATCCATGTCCCAAACTCGAAATTAGTCTCATAGCCGACTTAAAAGCTTGTGAGAATATGCAGGAGATCCTACTCACCTTAAAGAAATAATTACGTTAGTATAAAAAAAATCACCTATATGTATTAAAAAAAAAACCTCACCAATAATTAATTATTTGATATATTTATATGAAAATAGTTTTTTTAATATCATGTAAGCTGTATATTTTACAAAATAAAGTTGACTTTTTTTTAGTTACCCATCTTTAATTATTTGTTTGAGCCGAGTTGATATTCTTTGGTATTCTCACAAATTTAGCCTCTTTTAGTTGAATATGACACTAATTCAGAATGCGGGACGACGAGGGATAAAGATATTTAACCCCCTTCCAAATGTGACATATAAGGATCGAATCGAAGCTCTTACCTTTCTATTACTCAACATCCTTACTACCAACTCAGCTACAACTACAATTTGAACTTTATGTTTTACAAAAAAAGAGTTGACTTTTAATAGAAGAATAAAATATAGAATTCGAAAAAATTCATAAAGATATAGTATGTATAAAAATGAATTTGTAAGACAACATACATATATATATATATATAGGAAAATATTTGTCCTTTTAAAAGTTATAATTATGTGTCATTTTAGATCCTAAATATTGATTTTCATCACGATTAGGATTTACTGAGTCAAACTTATTAATTAAAACAAAAAACTAATCGTTGATTGACGGAAATTAACAGTTAGGATCTAAAATGATACAAAATTATATCATTTAAAAGGATAATTTTTTTCATATATATATATATTGCGTTTTTATATACAAACTGTAATTTTTATCCTAATCCCATCATTTCTTCTTTATATATATATATATATATATATATATATATATATATATGTGTATATATATATATATATGTATATATATATATATATAGGAAAAATATTTCTCGAGCAACTTGAGATAAGTTTATCTTCGGCCATCTCAAAACTACGTCGTTTTATTTATTTATTTTCTTATATTAATTGATTCACCTTTGAATGGTTATGATTCCCTTTTTCTCTCTCTTCCTTTATCACCATTGATCCATTTTTGTACAGTTATGATTTAGTAGCCGGAGATAAATTTATCTCAAGCAGCTTGAGAAATGATAACCCCTATATGGGAAAAATATTTCTCAAACAGCTTGAGATAAGTTTATCTTCGGCCATCTCAAAACTACGTCGTGTTATTTATTTATTTTCTTATATTAATTGATTCACCTTTGAATGGTTATGATTCCCTTTTTCTCTCTCTTTCTTTATCACCATTGATCCATTTTTGTACGGTTATGATTTAGTAGCCGGAGATAAATTTATCTCAAGCAGCTTGAGAAATGATAACCCCTATATATATATATATATATATATATATATATATATATATATATATATATATGAGGCAGGATCCTTTGACACCGGTGTCAAATTTAAAGTTTGACACCTCATCTGAGAGCCGTTAGATCAAAAAAGATCAACGACTCTGATTTGCAAGTATGTGACACCATTGATCTTTTTTGATCTAACGACTCTCAGCTGAGGTGTCAAACTTCAAATTTGACACCGGTGTCAAAGGATCCTGCCTCTATATATATATATATATATATATACATGTTGTATATTGAATTAACATGGTTTAAATATTTTTTTTTAAAAATAATAGATTATTTTACTTATTTCTATTTTTCGTACCTTTTCCTATTAGTTTCGAACAAAATTAAAATCCAAATAAAAAAGAGAAATAATAAAGATAAGTGAAATTATGAAATAATGATATCTAGAGTAACCTCTCCAAAGATAACTTAAATAGAAAGCTCAGAACTTACTTAGGAAGACCTAAACGAGTTCCCTTTCGAACTGAAAGCTCAAAATAGCCTTTGTCCCCAACAGGCAAGCTCAATTTTATTGAGAACGAAGAGAGTAATTACTCTCATTTTTGAAGGCTGCTGGAAAAGAACACTCAACTTCTAATATTATATTGGGTTTATGAATGTCATGTCACAGAGAGAGCTTTTGCATCATGCATCATAGACCACACAAGTGAGTGTACATCAACATCATCAACATCACAAAGAGAGCTTTTGCATCATGCGGCATAGACCACACAAGTGGGTGTACTAAAAAAAAATTAATGCACTAGTTTCGATCGATCTAAATTCCAAACATAGAAAAAGACTCCTTAAACATAGAGTTTATCTCTTGGAGCTTTACAATTTGCTTACTTGAAGAACAAGCTACTTATCTTTCTCCCCGAGAGACCAAACGTTCACAGTCCCTAGGCACACCTAGAGAAGGAATTCAACACAAAACTCAATAAAATGATATAATGCCATGTAAATATACAAGACACACACTTTATTGTTTAATTTCTTTTTACTTAATCCTATTAGGCCATGAGTGGGCGGTTCTTTGTTCAACAAATCCCCACAAAATTTCACATATTCACTTAGTCTTAGGATAGTCCCAAAAGGCCTTTAGAACACTCATTACTCCTCTTAGCACCTAAAAGCCTATTTTTCCAATTTAAGGCAGAGTGCCCATTACAAAGGAGATATAAGATTTCTCTTTATCTAGTGCCTAAACCCAAACTTAGCCACTTATATAAATTATTTTACGCATAAAAGTGTTCTCACTTGGCGAAACAGCAACTCCAAACGTATACCTCCTTTGAAAATTACCAAAACTCATTTTAAGGCCATACAAAGGAGCTACCTTATTTTCTTTTTTATTTCATCAAAGCGAAGGCTCATACACCTTAGAATATTATTCCACGCATAAGAGTATGCTCGCTTTGCAAAACAGTAACTCTTAGCACATATCTCATTTGAAAATGGCCATAATCACATATAAGGCCCAAAGAAGGAACTATTCATTTTTCTTTTTATCTAACCCAACCAAAGGTTTAAACATTTAATTATATAGTCCTTAGGTCGTATAAGTACTTATTAGCACAAACAAGCACTCTAAAAACATATTTCCTTTGTAAATGGCTAAGAGGCACATAAAGGAAATCATGTCAATTTCATGATTCCAATACTTTAGTCCATCAAATTCAAACTTATCATACAACCATAATCATCATTAGGTAATTGAAGCCTTTTTACACATTAATTCATCCATTTATGCCTCAAAACATAAGACACCACTAAGCGTCATTCAATTAATCCACTCAATTCACAACTTACATATATATATAAACCTTCACAAAGTGTCCAATTATTTTTTGAACATTAAACCCTAATTTTTCACACCATGGCTGAATCTAGTGGGAGGGATTCAAGGGAATTTTTCAAACTTTAAACACATGTTCATACTTATTTAACACTATAACATCATAAATCATACTAACTCATCATCAATTTCAAATTTCCAACTCCAAAATTTTCTATAACATATGCTCATAATATTCAAAACTTGAATCATGACATTTAAACCATTGGAAAGAGGATCTCTTACCTCAAATCATCTATACAAGGCTTGGAGAACAAAACCCAAGCTTGATTCCACCAAAAATCCACTTCTCTCTCTAGGATGAATAGTGACTGAAATCTTGAGAAGGAGAGAGCTCCTTACACAAGCTTTTTCAACCCAAACAAATGGGTGGAATGGATTCATCACAATTTTTACTTAAACATTCATGTATGACACTTTGTGTTTTGGTTATTGTTTGAGTAAGAAATCAAGAAAAGAAAAATGAAAGCCAAGCTCCTTCCATGGAAAAAGTTTGACCAGCAGAGAGAGAAGATGGAAGACAGGGCTAGGACGAAAAGAAATATAAAGGAGTTTACAGTTTCTAAAGTTAAGTTAGTGTAACTGGATAATAACTTATCTATCTACATACCTCCGTTCAATATCAAACTTTACCCAATGAACTAGAATATTTTTTCAGTCATATTTCTAACTTTACTTTTGCATTCTGGGTAATTTTTCCTACACATATTTTTACCGAAAAATCTCACTGACTGTATTTTTTACCTCAAAAGAAATCCTAATTTATTTAATTAGATCTTTTACTTAATTTAATCCATTTATGCATGATTAAATATTTAATCACATGCCTTTTTCTAATTAAATGGGTTAGAGGTATTATAATATCGATTGTCAATGTTTCCAGAATGGAACATATCTTATTTGATTAACCGTTATGCTACAACTAGATAACGCAATTGATGTTAAAAGTTTTTGAATGTTGGATCTGGATCCTCTCATGTGGAAATTCACATGACTATGTCATGTGAAAAATCATAACCATACAAAGGTGGATCAATGGTAACAAAGGAGGAGAGAGAAAAAATGTTAAAATAGGTAGTTATGAAATCATAACCGTTAATTTACCTTTGTATGGTTGTGATCTTCTTACATGATCATATCATATATATTTTTTTTCAACATGAGAGGATCTATTTCCCCGAATGTTACAGAAGTTAAATTAGGAGTGATACTGTGATAGCCATCACATACACATTTCATGTACTAGTTAAAAGCTCCCCTTAAAATAGCACATAATTTTACATTTGAAATTTTCTTTCTTGTGACTGTGGCAATATTTCAGTTATTCATGTAAAAAGAATTATATATCAATAATACATCAACATCAATGAGACATTTATCCCAAACCAGTTGGCCAATTATATACCACTAATACATCATATAAAAGCATCTACATATTTTGTAAGGTTGCTGAAAAAATAATGTCATTTCCAATCATACAACAGAAACAAGTTCATAGGCTCCTAATCGCACCTTTATGAGCCAACGACAAATATTAAGTTCAGAGCATTTAGCTAAAATACTTTCATGAAAACTATATCTCAAATCCCAGAGAAGTTTATAAAGCTTATATGGCATTGTATTCAATATTTAATTTCAGAAAGATTTTTTACATCTAAGCATAAATATTCTTGCCATTATTTTCTATATCTAACACTATACTTTTCCTTTTCTTTTTGTTGGGTGGGGTTGGGGAAGCCAAGGTAAGGGAGCACTTGTCTTCCTGGCCAACTGTACAACTTATAAGAAAGTATGGCATGAAGAAACATACTAAGAACATGAGGTTATGTTTGGATCATATTCATAAGAATGCCAGAACCAAGGGAAAGAGCCACAGCTTCAGCACTTCCAAGTTTTGCAGCAAGTGCTAAAGAAGTTGATAAAGGAAGGAGCTTCTTGCTTCGGTACATCCCTGCAAAAAATCAATATAATACTAGCACCAGCACAAAACTTTCAAAATGTACATCTAAACAAGTAAAGCTACTAGGCTTTTTTACCCTTATAACCCTTTATTATTAATTAATTACCGATTTGACCTTGATTATAAACTATTTCAAAAATTTAACCCCCTCAAAAAACATAACACCAATCTGCCCCTGTTTGACCGTTGACCACCAAGCCTACCCGGGTACACCCCACTTTACCCCGGTATTATTTGAAAAATTTTATCTACCCGGGTAGGGAGGCGTGTACCCGGGTATTGTTCTTCGCACCTGAGAAATTGCTTGAATTATTTACCCGGGTAGAGAGGGGTGTACCCGGGTAAATCTTCAACCACCCGGTATAATTCGTCATTTACCAGTAAAATGAAAAGCTACATGCTCACACTAAATTTCTGTACCATGAACCCTGTCTTTATTTTCTTTCCGTCTCACTCTCCCCAATAGACCCGGTACCACATTTATATATAGGAGCGCGATTTTGATGTACATAAAAGTAGACCCCATCATAATCGATAAATCCAAATCCATTCTCTAAGCTAAAAGCTCTTCAAATTGGTTAGGCATGCTTATAATACTGATCTATCTCATTAGCTACCAAATGGGTGGTCGAAGATAGCACCACCCGGGTAGGCAACAAAACTTTGTTATGTTTTCAGGGGGTTAAATTTTTGTACATAATCAAGGTCAAATCGGTAATTAATTAATAATAAAGGGTTATAAGGGTCAAAAAGCCAAAGCTACTACCCTATAGACTGACAATACTAACGTAGTAATTTTGAAAATTGACATTATCATCACTTGGAATGGGGACATCTTCTTTGCTAATCACTGCCTGCATGGTGCATACTAGTATCTTTTGAGTAAGCGTTGCGTATCTTTGTTTGTTCAATAACTTAGCAGGTTCGTATAACTTGAATGTTGTAACCAATAGGGTTCGAATTACTTCAAATAATACACTTTAAATCAAAATCTTCGTCTTAAACCACAGGGAGGAAATACACAAGATGATACTAAGCACAACCAAATTCCATTTGTTAAATGAAATTGAGATATTTAATTAGAATCACGCGATTCCATTTGTTGCGTGAAATTGTGATATGCCGAGGCATTTATTAGGCTGACCCCAAGTCCTTTCAACAACACTCTATCTTCATGGCCGTTGGTTGCTATGCTTGCTGTAACCTTGGCTACCAGCCTTGTCTGATTTTTGGCTATGCTATTTAGGTAGAGAGAGCATCGTTGGTCGTACATCACACAGACATGATCCAATTTAATAAAGTCGAAACTACGCAAGTACATTTCAACACTATCCTTTTTACCCCTACCCTCACCATCCCGGATAGTGATCTTAAATTTCATAAGATCAAGAAAAAAGCGCTTGCCAACGATGAAGCAGAAAATGAAGCCTAGCTGAGGGGAATGTGTGTTGGGAATGGTATGGGGGAGCCCAAAACCCATTGCAAGGGATACATCCATGGGCCAAGTGATAAACCACAATAAGTGAGCCGACACCACATTTTAACCCAAAACCTTTAGGCTGTAAGTTTATGGGTCTTTTGCACTTATATGGTCATCACTTGGTCTAGGTCTAGCCAATGTGGTACTTCTTTACAACTCATACTTGAATACTTCCAACATCTTCCCCTCAAGTATGAGACCCAACATCATGCTCCTCCTTAAGGGCAACTTCTGCGGAAGTCTTTTTTCTTTAAGTATTGGAGTCACACTAGCCTTCTGCGGAGGCCTTGAAACATCACCATCTCTAAATACCCGGCCCAGCCAAACCTTTGGCTCTGATACCACTGTTGGGAATGGTATGGGGGAGCCCAAAACCCATTGCAAGGGATACATCCATGGGCCAAGTGATAAACCACAATAAGTGGGCCGACACCACATTTTAACCCAAAACCTTTAGGCTGTAAGTTTATGGGTCTTTTGCACTTATATGGTCATCACTTGGTCTAGGTCTAGCCAATGTGGTACTTCTTTACAACTCATACTTGAATACTTCCAACAATGGTCTTTTAATGTTAGAGTCTATTTGTTTTTTGTCCGTTAGAAAATTCAATGGTCTTTTAAGTTTGATGTAACGGCCATGTGCTGCACTAAAGTTGTTTGATGAGTCTTAACGGTATCATAATGAGTCAGTTTTGGGTAGTATAATGAGTCATTAAGTTAGAGTTTATTTGGGTGTAATGTGTCTCTTAATGTATGTTTTTCAGTTTTAGTTTCTGGTTTATATTAAGTTTGAGTCAGTTTATGAAATTTGTATTCCCTCTTCAAACATTGTGAGTTATATTTCTGCATCTTAATTTTTCTCTATCAGTGGTATCAGAGCCGGATTGGGCTCGAGCTAGCCTAGTGATTGGCTAGGAGACGGGTCGAGTACTTTGCGCTTCGGGTACTCGGTTGAGGGGGAGCATACCAATGGTGGGTTTCACACTTGAGGGGGAGATTGTTGAGATATTCAAGTGTGATGAGTCCCACATTGGTTGATAATGAGCTAAGTGAAGAGTATATAAGTGAAAGGACCCATAAACCTGCAGCCTTAAGGTTTTGGGTTGAGACATGGTGTCGAATCCATTTGCTACGGTTGGTGTAGCCTTAGCTCATTGGTGGTGGCTCCCCGCCACGGGCTTCCCCTGGACCCGCTTGACATTGGAGTTTGAGGGAACGAATTTCCCAACAGTGGTATCAGAGCCAGGTTGAGAGTTAAACACGTGAGGGAATTGAGTTGTGAAAAAAAGAGTAAAGTGAAGAGTCATGGCCACAGATTCTAATTTTGTGCAAGTAGCCATTCCACGTTTCGATGGTCATTATGATCATTGGAGCATGTTGATGGAGAATTTCCTTCGATCCAAGGAATATTGGGATGTAGTTACCAATGGTGTTGTTGAACCAGCACTAGCAGAAGGAGCTCAGTTGACAGCAGCACAACGAGCAGCTCATGAAGCAGTAAAGTTGAAGGATTTGAAGGCGAAGAATTATCTCTTCCAGGCCATTGACCGTTCTATCTTGGAAACCATTCTTTCCAAAGAAACTTCCAAGGATATTTGGGACTCCATGAAAAAGAAGTATCAAGGCTCTGCAAGAGCAAAGAGGCAGCAGCTTCAAGCTTTACGCTCGGAATTCGAAACACTTCGAATGAAGTCGGGAGAATCAATTGCAGATTATTTCTCTCGCGTGATGACCATTGTCAATAAAATGCGAATTCATGGAGGCAGGATAGAAGAAATAACTGTCAGAGAAAAAATTCTTCGATCATTAACAACAAAATTTAACTTTGTTGTTTGTGCTATAGAAGAATCTAAAGATATAGATGATTTGTCACTTGATGAATTGCAGAGTTCATTGGTGGTGCATGAACAGAAGTTCAAACAGGAAGACACAGATGAGCAAGCATTAAAGGCTTCTACCGATACTCGTTCCAACAATTTTCAAGGAAGGGGTAGAGGTAGAGGCAGAGGTAGAGACAAAGGCAGAGGCAGAGGAAGGTCCACTAATTTCAGAGCCAATAATGATCAATTTCAAGGCAGAGGCAGAGGAGGAGCCCCTGATAAATCCAAGGTAGAATGTTTCAGGTGTCATAAATTTGGTCATTATCAATCTGAATGTTATACTAAGCTGCCAAATAGCAAAGAAAAAGAAGAAAGTTCAAACTTTGCAGAAAAGGAGGAAGGTGAAACCTTATTGATGGTTGCTAAAGATGAAAAGCAAATTGAGCCAGATGTTTGGTATGTGGATACTGGCTGTAGCAACCACATGAGTGGTAGTAAGTCTTCTTTCTCTCATCTGAATGAAAATTTTCAATCTACTGTGAGTTTTGGTGATCATTCTACTGTGAAAGTAATGGGAAAAGGTGACATTAAAATAAAAACCAAGAATGGTTTTGTGGAAACAATATCTAATGTATTGTATGTTCCTGATTTGAAAAGTAATTTATTGAGTGCTGGCCAATTACAAGAAAAGGGTTATGTGATCACTATTAAAAATGGTGTTTGTGAAATATATGATTCTGTTAGAGGTGCTATTGCTGTTATTCAGATGAGTTCAAACAGATTGTTTCCATTAAAGATTGAAGGAATCCAATCTAGTTTAATGGCTGAAATGAAAGATCCTTCATGGTTGTGGCATTTTCGCTATGGCCATTTGAGCTTTGGTGGGTTGAAAACGCTCCAACAGAAAAATATGGTGACAAGCCTCCCTCAAATCACAATTCCTCATTCCTTAGTATGTGAAGAATGTGTTGTTAGCAAACAACATCGTTCTGAATTTGCAAAAGGGAACTTATGGAGAGCAAAGGGAATTTTGCAATTGGTGCATTCAGACATTTGTGGTCCAATAAATCCAATTTCTAATGGAGGTAAAAAATATTTAATTACCTTCATTGATGATTTTTCTAGAAAAACGTGGGTTTATTTTTTACAGGAAAAGTCAGAAGCTTTCTCTACATTTAAAAATTTCAAAGCTCGTGTGGAGAATGAGACAGGAAGGATGATTCAGACACTTCGCACAGATCGTGGTGGTGAATATTGCTCAAAAGAATTTGAAGCTTTTTGTGAAGAACATGGCATCCGAAAAGAGCTTACAACTGCGTATACACCACAACAAAATGGTGTATCAGAGAGGAAGAATAGAACCATCCTCAACATGGTTAGAAGCTTGTTGGTAAGAGGAAGAGTTCCAAAGACGTTTTGGCCAGAAGCAGTAAACTGGTGCATTCATGTCTTAAACAGAAGTCCAACCTTTGCAGTTCGAAATATGACGCCAGAAGAGGCTTGGAGTGGGAGAAAACCAAATGTGGATCACTTTAGAATTTTTGGATGCATTGCATATGCTCATGTCCCGGAACAGAAAAGAAAAAAACTTGATGACAAGGCTGAAAAATGTGTCTTTCTAGGTGTAAGTGATACATCTAAAGCATATAAATTATTTAATCCACTGACGAAAAAAATTGTGGTTAGCAGGGATGTTGTTTTTGACGAAGAAAACACTTGGGATTGGAATATGCAGCAGCCTACCGAAGTTCTTTGTGATATTGATTCTGAACAAGAGCAAATTTCAGCATCTAGTATGCCTGAAAATTCGTCCATTGCAACTTCTTCAGCTAGTCAATCCTCACCAACAGTAGTTGGAGTTAACGAAGAAGAAACTCAATCTCTTCGTCGTGTTAGAAGAAGGCCTACTTGGATGTAAGATTATGAGGTAACTGGAATTGAAGATCCAATTACTAACTTTGCTTTGTTTTCAGAATGTGATCCCGTGACTTTTGAGAGTGCTGTCAAAGAAGAAAAATGGCGAAAAGCAATGGATGCTGAAATTGATGCAATTGAGAGGAATGATACTTGGGAGTTAACTGATCTTCCAAATGGACACAAAATCATTGGTGTGAAGTGGGTGTTTAAAACAAAGTTAAAGGAAAATGGTGAAATTGACAAGCACAAAGCACGCTTGGTTGTCAAGGGGTACAAGCAACAATATGGGATTGATTATACAGAAGTTTTTTCTCCTGTTGCGAGACATGATACAATCAGGTTGGTGGTTGCATTGGCTGCACAAAATTCTTGGCCTATTTACCAGCTAGATGTCAAATCAGCATTCTTGCATGGGTACTTAGAGGAACAAATATTTATTGAACAACCCCTTGGTTATGAGAAAGTTGGAAATGAGCATAAAGTTTACAAATTGAAAAAGGCACTTTATGGACTAAAACAAGCCCCTCGAGCTTGGTATAGTCGCATTGAGTCTTATTTTCTTAAGGCTGGTTTTATAAAGTGTCCTTATGAACATACACTCTTTGTTAAGATTGGTGATGAAGGAAAAATGCTTATTGTTTGCTTATATGTAGATGATCTTATATTCACTGGAAATTGTGATGTTATGTTTGAAGAATTTAAAAAGTCTATGATGAATGAGTTTGAAATGACTGATCTTGGTATGATGCATTACTTTCTTGGCATAAGTGTAGCACAATCAAGTGATGGAATTTTTATTTCTCAAAATAAATATGTGGAAGATATTCTAGACAGGTTTCAGATGAAGGATTGTAGTCCTGTGCACACTCCAGTTGAATGTGGCTTGAAGTTACATAAAGATCATGGAGGAAAGAAGGTTGACAGCACCTTCTACAAACAAATTGTGGGAAGTTTGATGTATCTCACTGCAACAAGACCAGACATAATGTATTCTGTGAGTTTAATTAGCAGGTATATGGAAAATCCTACAGAAATACATTTGTTGGCTGCCAAGAGAATCCTTCGCTACTTGCAAGGAACAAGAACTTTCGGGATATTTTACAAGAAGGGTGTAAAATCTGATTTAGTGGGATTTACTGACAGTGATTATGCAGGAGATCAAGATGACAGGAAGAGCACATCAGGTTATGTTTTTATGATTGGTACAGGTGCTATTTCTTGGGCATCGAAGAAGCAACCAATTGTCACTTTGTCAAGCACAGAAGCTGAATTTGTTGCTGCTACAGCTTGTGCATGCCAAGCCATTTGGCTAAGGAGAATTCTTGAAGAACTTCACTTCAAGCAAGAAGGAGCGACTTTAATTTATTGTGACAATAATTCTGCAATTAAATTGTCAAAGAATCCAATTTTACATGGGAGAAGCAAGCATATAGATGTGAAGTATCATTTCTTAAGGGATCTTACAAAGGCTGGTATAATTGATCTTATTTTTTGTAGAAGTGAGGATCAAGTTGCTGATTTGTTTACAAAGCCTCTCAAATATGTTGCGTTTCAAAAGCTCAGGGGATTACTTGGCATATGTTCCATGGAGAAAGTCAAAGGATTTGGAGTAAACTGAATTTTTCAAGAACATCAGTTTAAGGGAGGGAATGTTAGAGTCTATTTGTTTTTTGTCCGTTAGAAAATTCAATGGTCTTTTAAGTTTGATGTAACGGCCATGTGCTGCACTAAAGTTGTTTGATGAGTCTTAACGGTATCATAATGAGTCAGTTTTGGGTAGTATAATGAGTCATTAAGTTAGAGTTTATTTGGGTGTAATGTATCTCTTAATGTATGTTTTTCAGTTTTAGTTTCTGGTTTATATTAAGTTTGAGTCAGTTTATGAAATTTGTATTCCCTCTTCAAACATTGTGAGTTATATTTCTGCATCTTAATTTTTCTCTATCAATGTGGAGAAGAGAGATCAATAATAATATGATCATTTGTGGTCTTATACTCAAACCACTCTGGAACACCACTTCCTGGATACGCGTAGACATATGCTGCTTGACAGGGATCACGGTGATCATTGTAATCGTCATAATTTTCAACATTATCATATTCTGGCGCAGATATATGTTGATATGCTAATTTTATCATGTTGATCTGTGCATTTAATGCAATAGCCACAAGAGAATGTTCATCCAAGTTCCCGCAATTCCAGAACATAACCCGTTTCCTATTTTCCTTGAATTGTTCAGCGGCTGTTGAAGGGAACAATACAGTCCTCAGTGATATGCACCTCCCAGCATCTAGTGTTTCAAGGGATGGGGGAAGCTCTGGTAGAGTCCGAAGCTTCTGGCACTTAAATACGTCTACATATTGCAGTCTTGTAAGATTCTTGATGGATGAAGGCAAGCTCTCAATGGGACTTCCTCGAAGACTTAGGATTTTAAGCTTGCTTTGACGTCCAAAATATGAGGGCAATGCACTCAAGCCCGTGAAACATAAATGCAACTCTATCATATTCTCTGATGTTACTGAGAATTCCTCGAGATTTTTGCAGTAGTCAAGGTTGAGATATTTGAGGGAGCTTAAATGGGTATCATCAGTTGCTAGTCTGATAAGGGAAGGGCAGACACTTATATACAATTTCTCAAGCTTTTCGAGTGAGAAAATAGATGGATGTACGTTGGTCAACTTTGCACACCAAGATATTCTCAGCACTTCAAGATTTGGTGCTTTTGAAAAATCTGGTAGCTCCTTCAAGACTTTACAAGAATGAAGGTGAACTCTTTTTAAATTCATAAGATTCTGTAGCAAAATAAAAAAAATAAAACAATCGAAGTAAGTGCAAAATTAAGAGGGTAATTTGAGCTTGAGTTGTTAGTTTTCTATTCCTTGAATTAAGAGCAAAATTATAACAACAAATCACCTTTACCTGCACTCCATCCCAAAGTTTTTCCACAGAAGTAAGTGCCAAGTAGAATAATACAAGTTTTTCTGCAGAAAATTTCTCTGGCAAGGATTTAAGAGGGTATTTCACCCAAAAAAGATATCTTAGTTCAGTTGGCAAAGATTGAAGCCCTTGAGGAAGATAATTCAAGTAGCGTGAATCATGTATGTCATCAATACGCAGAAAATGTAGTTTGCTCATCTTAGCAAATATGTGAGAGCTTAACTTCAACTGATTAAATGCTGACAAGTCCACCTGTATGCTTCTAATGGCCTCAGTCCCCTTCCATCAATGGAGAATACAAATTTTAAACATCATTAAAAGCCATATTTCTCACAAAAAATTCAAATGTTATCTAAAGATATAATTTTTTTGATTTATATTATATTTGAATTTAGTCTTTACCTTGTCATTCAACAATACTTCATGAATCACATCAGTACCCCTCAAGTGACTGCGACTTCCAGGGTCTTCACTAGATTCTTGGCGAACAATCTCCCAAGCCATTTCTTGTAAAATATCATGCATAGATACAAAATTACTTTTAGAAATAGTTATAAGAGCTTTGTCTTTCAGCCTTTCTAACCCAACAGCCACTGAATTATCACTTTCATGATCTTTCAATATAATTTTTAAATCTTCCACATTCCAATTCAACCCACTGAAGAAGCATGCAAGATCTAAAAATATCTTTTGCTCTTTGTGATCTAGATCATCATAACTCAGTTTCATTACATCATAAACTTTCGTACTTGGCATATTTTTAAGCTTGTCCAGCTGACTTTCCCACGCTTCCTTATCTTTTCCACAAAGAAGATGAGCCAAAACTTTAAGAACTAATGGAATGCCTTTGGCATAATTGACCACCCTCTTTGATAACTCAGAGTACTCCATTTCAAGATGATTTTGTTTGAAGGCACGCAAATTGAAAAGCTTAAGTGCTTCATCAAACATCAATGCTCCTACCTCACATATATCACCATCATCAACTTTGTATGCCGTAAGCACTTGCTTATCTCTAGTTGTTACAATGATTCTACTACCTGTTCTAAACCGATCATGACCTCCAACTAAAATTTCTAGTTGATCTGGATCCTTCACATCATCTAGAACAATAAGAACCTTCATACGACCAATCCTTCTCTCAATACTATTGGACAATTCATTTGGTGTGTTAATTTTCACATCTCCCGCTAATAGTGTAGAAAAGAGCTTTTCCTTTAAAAAAATTATTCCATGTCTTCTTGATTCTTCTCTTACATTTGCCAAAAAACAACAACCTTCATATTCAGAACTTAGTTTGTTAAATGTTTCTTCGGCAATAGTTGTCTTACCAATCCCACCCATACCCCAAATTCCAATAACACGGACACCCTTTGACTGTTGATGTAACAATGATTCTACAAGTGCAATTGGTTTATCAATTCCAATAAGTCCCTTTGAGTCAACCGGGTGCTTACTTAACCTGATCAACACAATATTGACAATATCTTCAATCAACTCAGCATCATCCCTATACAACAAAGAAAGAAGTAAGGGAGAATGTATGAAATTCAATGGCATTAATATTAGCTTAACTACATATTTTTTGTATTTATCATTCTCTTTATAAACATTAAATACATGAGACCTTATTAAAATTTGTGAATATTTTCATGAAGAAATACGCATAATATTTTCACAAAACCTTATAATTTGAAATTTTAAAATGTCAGGTTTCATTATCCACATGGATCAACCTCTTCTCTTTTCCTACCTCCATAGTGAAATCTCTTAATAGAGTTTGGTAAAAAAAAAAGGGGAAGTTAATAGATGTATCTATGAGTTTTAAATGTATCATTTATAAGTAATGTTTGAAAATCGGAATACATTTTAATTGAATTACTTCGGTCTAATTAACCACTAAATTCAATAAACCAACAAAGCATGGCTTGTCCAATCTAAGTACTAGCATGAACATGTTGCTGCATTTACTAATAAATGCAGAAGTAATAACTAAAAAGCCCGCATTCCATAAAAAAACTACACAGAAAATAAAGGTTGTCTTTTGTAACTATATAACAATAAATAGTTACAATATATCGAACATTTATTTTGGAAAAAAAATAAAAAGCTTACCGAAAATGTGATGACTTAATTCCTGATAAATTAGCAGATTCATTTAAAGCACGTCTCCAGATTTGCACCCTAGTAGAATTATACTTTTTTTCATGCTCAGCAAGTGCGTTTTCATAACTCCCCTTTTGATGCCGTACATCCGTGGGTTCTGCCTTGTAGAAAACAGGCACTACAATTTGTCCATACTTCTCTCTGCACTCAACTATTTTCACAAGTTCTTCCAAACACCAATGAGAAGAAGCATAGTCTTTTGAAAATATGATCAACGAAATGAATGAGCCTTCAATTGCTCTAAGAAGTGATGATGATATTTCATCTCCTCTCTCAAGTTTATCATCTACAAAGGCAAATATTTGCTTTCGTTGAAAAGCCTCAATCAAATGGCTAAGAAAACCGTGGCGGATGTCCTTGCCCCTAAAGCTTACAAAAACATCATATTTTTGTTGAGGAGCATTGTCCAACGTTAGCGTTGCCGCTACACCCTTCAATTTGTTAAAAATGAATGACTAAATTTGATTATGCATAAAAAATAAGGTGTTATCACTACAACATAATTGAAATATAGCAACATTTTCCATTAACAAAATGTAAAGAGTGTTATATTAAGGCCACGTTACCAAAAAAGGTTATACCTACAGTTTAATATGTTGCTAGTAACAGTTAAAAAACATTACTAATAACATTCAAAAAGCATTGCTATTTTTTTTTTTTGTAACATTTAAAAATATAGTAATTTTCTTTTTTGCAATATTTAAAAATTGTAACTAGTTTACTTTTTTGTAAGATGTGAAAATAATATTACTAATTTATTTGTGGTGAGGGTTTAAAAATATTACTAATTTAAATATCCAACACAAATTAGATCCATTCCAAAAAATCTTGGAGATGTTAACTCACATCATACTAAAAATAAAAGTAAAAAACTAGTAAAAAGTAAAGAACACACGCTTGTGCCATCATGCTCTGCTAGGGTTTCCTAGTATTATAGGGTTTCTTTGAACGTTCTTGTCATGCAGCCGTCAGCTGTTCGAGAGTTAACGTCGGAGGAGGTGGACAACCTTCAAAGAAGTAATAAAAAATATAAGGGAGATGGATCCTATTCTAATGATCAATCGATGGTTCCTAGAGATGAACAATGGATGGATGGTAAGTCAAGTTTTAAGGAAATTCTTATGAGAAGTAATGGTGAATGGAGATCAGAAAACGATTCTGAAGAGGAGGATGAAGCTGAGATGATAGTGCAAGATGGGGTAGAAGAAGCACGAAATAAGGATCTTTCTCAGGAGGATGTCACTTTGGAGTTTTGAAAAGATGGAACTCTGAATTTCAAGCTATCGGATAGATTCAAAAAGAAAGCTTGGAAGCCATTGAAGAAATCACTGATAGTCAAACTACTGGAGAAAAAACTCTCAATTAATTTCATGAGGAAGAGGTTGGAGAATATGTGGGAAAGAGATGGGAAAATCCATGTAACTGATATTGAGAATGATTTCTTCTTAGTTAGGTTTGAAGAAAAGAAAGATATGGAATTTGTTTTGTCTGCCGGGCCTTGGTTAATTTTTGATCATTATTTGTTTATCAGATCATGGGAGCCAAATTTCCAAGCGTTTAGTTCCCCCATCAGTAAGATCACAGCTTGGGTCAGATTACCTGGTTTTCCTGTGGAATATATAAATACTCCCTTGATGAAAAGTGTAGGGAACTGGTTGGGGAAGTTCATTCAATTAGATGCTGCATCGACTAATCTTGCCAGAGGAAAGTTTGCCAGAATGTGTTGAACTGGATATTAGCCAACCACTCAAGTCTGTTTATTACGTAGAAGGAAGGTATAAGCAGGTAGAGTATGAAGGTCTTCATTTAATTTGTTACAAGTGTGGGAAATATGGGCATAGAACTGATCTTTGTCCCACTACACTAAAGGAACCTGAGTCTGAGACTAAGGGAGATAAGATCATGAATAATATAGTTTTGCATAATAATCCGCAGAATAACAGTAATCCGGAGGAGATTAATCAATCTAGCTTCGGTCCATGGATGGTAGTTTCAAGGAAAAAAAAAGGATATCCTGTGGAAAAGAAAACTGATGGTAGAATACCTAGGAGGAAGGAAGAGAAGAATCTAAAAATGGTTACTGAGGTCAATAATTCCAAGTCTTATGAAGATGATCTTAGTACTGGGAAGCTTAGCACAGATGGTCTCAGTGTGGACAATTTACATAGGGCAGGAGATCAAGGTAAGAGTCCACGTAAAAATAATCAATATGGTGATAATGATAGGGTTAAACTAAGAGAGACAGAAACAGCTTTTAAGCTGGTTTGGGATGGTGTCTTGGATACTAAAACGGAGGCAAAGTCTGCACCTACTGAGGAAATGGGGATTCCAAAGAAGATGCAGCACGTTATCAATGAAAATTTGGGCTCGTTGAATACTGAAAGCAATAAGGGTCCTATTCTGTTGAACACTGATAATGTAGGAAATGAGAGCATGCATGACGGACCTGTTGAGGCTCAGCATTCTCGTATGGATCCTTCTCATGGAGTGATTGTGATTTCTCAAGATCCAAAACCTCCGGATCCTTTTCCTAGCAAGGCAGTTTCAGTTTCCAACAGAAGTAAAGCATCTTCTACTCAAAGAGGAGTAGGGAAGTCCATTTCAAGAAAATTGTCGCAGGTGCAATCTCATTCTGCAAAAATTCAAAAATCTTTATAATGTCTTTGTTATCTTGGAATTGTAGGGGTGCGGCTAAATCTAACTTGGGTCGTACTCTCAAAATGATGGTGGAGAAGCATGCTATATGCATGGTGGTGTTAATGGAAACTAGAACTAGTAGTGAAAATAGTTGGAGATTAATGAAAAAACTTAGTTTTGATCATATTTTAGTTGAGGAAGCGGTGGGTTTCTCTGGTGGAATTTGGGCTATTTGGGATTCAAACCGTGTCAAGGTGCAAAGAGTATCTCAATCATCCCAGTTTCTGCGTATGAAGGTGCTGCTGAATGATTCAAAAGAATTTTTATGTACTGCTGTTTATGCAAGTCCCCGGGAAAAAGAAAGACATGTGATGTGGGATGAGATTTCTAATATTAGTAATTCAATTGATGTTCCTTGGATTATGTTAGGTGATTTTAATGACATCAAAAGTGGGAACGAGAAGAAGGGAGGATCCCAACCAGACAGAGCTAAATGCAGTCGGTTTTCTGATTTTCTCAACAAATGTCATATGGAAGATTTAAACACCTCTGGTCCTGTTTTTACTTGGCAAGGCCCCAAGTGGAATCATTTGGATAGAGTTTATAAAAAGCTTGATAGAGTTTGTGCTAATCAGAGAAGAAGATTGTGTTTTGAGGAGGCTGAAGTCTATGTGCTCCCTAGGATTCTGTCGAATCATAGTCCTTTACTTGTGAATTTATGTTTGAAAATTAATGAGTGGCAGAAGAGGCCTTTTCGCTTTATAGCTTCTTGGTTGGATCATCCAAATTTTGAAGAGCTGATGAAAGAGAAGTGGAATAATAGAGAGGATATTGTTCCGATGATTAGTCAATTTGTCCCTCATCTCCAAAGGTGGAATAAAGAAGTTTTTGGTAACATCAATATGAGAAAGATTAATTTAACTCACAGAATAGCAGATGTTCAAGCTCATATGATTGTTAATGATTCTCCTAGTCTACATGATCTTGAGCGTAAGCCTCAGAGGGAGTTAAATATTACTCTGGACCAAGAAGAATCTCTTTGGTATCAAAAATCACGTCATAACTGGATTGTGGATGGTGATAAGAATACCAAATTTTATCATTTGAAAACGGTGATTCGCAGAAGCTTTAATAAAATCACCAGGTTGCGGAATGATGCTAATCGTTAGCTAGATGATCCCTCTCAGCTAAGGAAGCTTGTTTGTAGCTACTATAAAAATTTGTTTACTGAAGATTTGCCCAACCGTAAATGGTTAACATCTCCAAGCTGATGGACAGATATTCCGACGGAATTTAAGGAAGCAATGACCAAAGTTCCAGGGATGGAGGAAATTTCTAGAATATTACGTGAAATGGGATCCTTTAAGGCCTCGGGTGATGATGGTTTTCCAGCTCTATTTTTTCAACGGCAGTGGCATTTTTTAAACTCTCAAGTTCGTGATGCTATCGATAAAATATGGAGTAATCCGGAACTTGTTGCTGAGATCAATTCCACTCTTCTGGTTTTGATTCCAAAAACAAAGTCTCCTGAGTTTATCTCTCAATTTAGACTGATCTCGTTATGCACTGTTATTTACAAGATATTGTCAAAGATCATTGTTGATAGACTCAAACCGGTTATGGAGCTCATTATCTCTCTGTTCCAGGTTAGTTTTGTTCCGAATAGACAAATTCAAGATAATATTATTATTGTCCAAGAGTTGATTCATTCAATGAGTAAGATGAGAGGTAGAAGAACTTTTATGGCGGTAAAAATTGATTTAATCAAGGCATATGACAAAATTAATTGGAAGTTTTTGCATAGAATCTTGGAGGAAATTTCACTTCCTGAGCATACTATCAATCTCATTATGAGCTGTGTGCAATCTTCTAGAATTAATGTTTTATGGAATGGTAAAGTTGAAGAGTTTGTTCCTTCGAGGAGTATCCGTCAAGGGGATCCCTTATCTCCTTATCTTTTCGTTATGGCTATGGAGAAGCTGACACATATTATAAATACTACTGTTAGTGGAGGCATTTGGAAGCCTATGAGGGTTGGCAAAGGTGGACCACAAATCTCCCATTTAGCTTTTGCGGATGATTTGATGATTTTCATGGACGCCAATGAGGAGCAGCTTGATGTCCTTTTAAAATGCCTTTCTTTATTTGAGGAAATATCAGGCGAAAAGCTGAGTGTTGAAAAAACTAGTGTTTTCTTCTCAAGAAATACGACGGAGGATATGCGCCAACGAATTGTTCAGAAAAGTGGATTTAAATATGTGAAGAATGTGGGCAGATACCTTGGGTCTATGATGCAACATGGAAGGGTCTCAAAAAATCTGTACTCAGGAGTTGTTGAGAAAATTAGAGTAAAACTCAATGCTTGGAATCAAAAAAGTTTGTCGCAAGCTGGTCGAATTACTTTGGCTCAATCAGTTATGTCCGTTGTTCCTTATTTTCAGATGCAAAGTTGCAAGCTTCCCTCATCAATTTGCTTGGAGATTGAGAAAATTCAAAGAGGCTTTATTTGGGGTGATAGGGAGGATCATAGAAAACATCACTTGATTAGCTGGAACACTATTACTCTTCCTAAGATGTGTGGCGGTCTTGGATTTAAGAAGTTGGAAATTATGAATGATTCATTTCTTGCCAAATTAGTTTGGAACTATTTGAATAAATCTAACCATCTCTTGTCTCAGGTACTCCAAGCCAAGTATGGTGCAAGTAGAAATCGTGGTAGCCCTTTGTAGTGCGTGGTGGTGATTCTAATCTTTGGAGAAATATCTACAGAATTTGGAACATCATGGAGGATTGACTCGTTTGGGAAGTTGGGGATGGCAAGAGCATTAGTTTCTGGCATGATAGATGGTTATTTCAATCATCTAGTGTTCTAGATCATGCCACGAGGAGGATCTCCAGTATGGATAGAAATGTAAAGGTAGCTGATATGGTTATTCATGATGGTGATTGGGATTATGCTAACCTGTCCGAGTTACTTCCGGTTGATATCGTAGAATCTTTTCGAAGTGTCCTTCCTCCTTGTGATTCAGGTGAACCGGATAAACAAGTTTGGAATCTTAATGGTGCTAATATTGTTTCGGTGAAAGCAATTTATGATATGTTAACCAGCCAAGATAGAAGTGAGGTTGATGATAGTTTTATTTGGTCTTCATTATGGAAGTGGAAGGGTCCTCCAAAGATCAAAATTCTGATGTGGAAAATTTTGCATGGAAGACTTCTTACTAAATGCAGAATTATGGAATGGGGTAATAGTGATGATGTGTGTTCTGTGTGTAAAGTGGATAAGGAGTCTGTTCTACATGCTCTTAGGGATTGTAAAGAAGTTAAACCCTTGTGGTCTTCTTTTGTTCCTAGTTCCCAGCATGATGAGTTCTTCTCTGGCAATCTGGAGCAGTGGTTGTTACTAAACTTTTCAAATCAGAATTATAGTAGGTTTCGAAAGAATTGGCTATCTTTATTTTTCATTTCGTGTTGGAGAATTTGGCTTTGGAGAAATTATGTTACTCATGGGGCCAATGCAATTCCACTCACTGCTAAAGTTCATCTGATTCAGCACCTTCTTAAAGATGTGTTAGATTCTTTTAATCAAACGAGGAATAATTTTGATGATAGGAGAACCATGGTTTTTAATATTGCTTGGCAATTTCCTATTTCGGAGTTTATTAAGGTGAATACGAATGGTGCGGCGCGTGGCAATCCTGGTCCTGCTGCTTGTGGGGGAGTTATTCGTGATACTCAAGGAAGATGGTTGGGTGGTTTTGCTTTCAAATTAGGCACCTGTTCTTCTTTTAAGGCTGAATTGTGGGGAGTTTTGCGAGGTCTTGAGATGGCATGGAATGTTGGTTTCCGCAAGGTTGTGATTGAAAGTGACTCATCTAGTGTGGTCACTGTGCTCACCAGGCGTGGTGTAGCAGTCCGTGAAAATCAGTTGATTTCTCGCATACGGACATGGTTGGGAAAAAGTTGGTCTGTTATTGTCAGCATACTTTAAGGGAAGCAAATTCTTGTGCAGATTGGTTAGCATATTTTATTATTGACCATGGTAATTATGAAGATCGGTTGGTGTGGGGGGATCGCCCTCCTGGTATAATTCCGCTTCTTAATGCAGATATGGCTGGTGTGGGAAGACCTCGTGTCTTAGTTTGTAATTGGTAGTTTTATTCTGTTTTTCCTTTCTTTGTTTGTCTTGGGGGCTTAGTCCTCCTTTTCTTTACCAAAAAAATAAATAAATAAATAAAAGAAAAAAGCCTCTACAAGTTCATTATGAAATTTCAAGTCAATATATTATTAACATGGAATTCAAGAGAGAGAGAGAGAGAGAACAAATTTAAAATGTATATTTCTAGTTCTTCAGGAAAATAAAATAAAATTTAGAAGGTATGAAGCAGGTGCATGATCAAAAAGCATGGACATGATGGTGATCACAGAGAAGAACAATTGTATAATTTGCCAATACAGGATACGTAAAGGTTCATAGAAACTAAAAGAATCCTAAAATAAGAGTGGTAGCCATTAGCTGTAATTTATAATTGGGGTTAAAGGTGTCCCCTTCACAAAACTTTCCTGTTCTATTTACCCATTTAGGTACTTTTGTGAGTACAGCTTTTAAACATGACAAGTCCAGGTTCTCTTAAGTCAGTTTCATACAAAATCGAATGTAATAACATCTCTACTAAATTGCAATATATATACCCATCAGGAACAAAGAAATAAAACATTAGAGAGAATAGGAAAAAAGTAAACCCATAAATTCTTCCATGTATGGCACCTTGATAGCAGACAAATGTATCTCACGATTACTCCAAGCTAAATTCTTCCATCCATTCACAAAAACATCATAATGAAAGAACATCACAAAAAAATTATTTGAAGGGAACTACCATCAGCAATATGAGTCAGCGTAAATTATATAAGCTTTAGATTAAAGTTAAATTGTACAAGTGAAGCAACAATCACCTTTTTGACAATTTCTTTCTTCTTAACTCCTGCTGCAATAGACAACAACTTCAACGGGTTCTTTGGAACTCTCTGAAGCAAACAAATTGTAAAAATAGCATTAAAAAGAATTATAGAAGAAAAGTAAAGAACATAATGAAAGCTGATAAAGTGGATGTCAGTCATCAACCTATAAAATTAGCAGAATTTTAACTAAAATATATCTAGATTTTAAGTTGATTTGTTTCAAAAAGTACTAAGTTCCTTTTATTTCATTGTGCTACTAATGCTCTTGTAAACAAAAAGATTTTCTAAGAGCAAGATATATATATTATAAGGCGCTTAACAAACTATTCTAACTAATGTTACAAGTTATTGTTACCCTCCAGTCTGATCTGTATGTTCTGTCAATTTGTAGCATCCAATTAACAAAATAAATATAATGTTTACATTTTACAAGTCATCTTTTCTTCCAGCGAGGTAATCATTGTGGGAACTCCCACTCCCCCAGAACAGGAACATGCATTGAAAATACATAAAAGAAAATAATTAAGTATAGTGTTCATTGTTAAAAGTAACATTCTTGACGATGGGCAAGAGCCAACAAGTGGACATAAAAACATATGAACTTCCAACTTGCCATCCTTTACTCAATGTAAACTAAGATTGAATTTGAAAAGAAAAAATCGAGAGCCAAACTTATTTTAATAAGCTTGTTCTGACAGGTCCCGTGCCAATTCTTATAATATTAGTATATACAAATAGAAGTCAATATATAAAATTGAAATATTAATTATACACATCAGTTTCCTGGATCAAGATCAAACTCAAACAAACAAACTCTAAGTAGAAACAAAATTTTGCACCAGACAAGATTATACAGTTGATTAATTAGCAACATTTTACTACGTGAGGCTTAAGACTAACATCACAAGAGTCTTAACTGACTGTCTACAATATAAATGAATGACTAGAACTTGGCACCCATTTCACATACATTATTTATGTATAAGGGCCGCATTTCCAAATTAGATGTTCTAGCAACAATTCCTTGAGGCAATACCTCCCTTCTAGAACGCCAGCATTGTCTCTAGGGAAATGGAAATAGGAACAAGATTAGAGGTAATTTTAAGCAGTTACAATTTATATTAGTCATATAAAAAGGGCCTTTTTACCCCCAAAAAGACTAACCTTGCATGGATCCAATTTTGTCTCTGGCATTGTACAAATTGGTCCTGATCTTGCTAATCTCAGCATGTATGATGGCTAAAAATATTTTCAAGTAATCAAAGCTCAAATTTCAAACTAACTGTTTCGTAAAGTATTATAGAATAAAATATAAGATGAATTAAAATTCAACACATAATTAAGGTAAAAACTATCAAAGCCTAAAATAAAACTGAGAACCATTTGTTCAAGCAAAAACATATGCAATTGACAGCAATCAAAATTATGTGGGAGGGGAAGGGGAATTGTTTAAATCCAATTCTTGACCTAGAATTCCAAACCAACATATATGTCAATATCAAAATATAATTTCTATCAGGTAATTCTTTAGCATTAGACAACAGTTTCTGCAGAAAACCAAAGGCGTGAATGGCATACGATCTTAGGAAGGAGATGAAAAGAAACTTATTATTTTTTCTTGCTTTACAACTCTTAAAACACCTAATTATATAGATAGAGCTTCTAGGAAAGTTCAAGAGTTGCAACATACTTTGAATCATAAAATAAAAGACATAGTGCCTTTATGGAATAAAAACATGCATAATGATTCTTGAAATATCAGAACTAGTTTCTAACACAATTTTGAAATAAGCAAGAGAAGACAAAGAAATACAACATATTTTATTGGAGAAGATCCATAAGAAAAATATGCGATTGGATTTGAAAAAGTGAGGTCTGGATATTTCTTTGTCTCTACTCCCTTGAATATCAAAATAAGGGAGCCCCAGTGCATAATGTTCCCTGACTTACGAGGGTTGATTGTACACAGTCTACTCTTACATTTTTCTGCAAAAAGACTGTTTTCCAGGTTCAAACCCATGATCTTCCGATCACATGAAACAACCTTACCGTTACTTCCAGGTTCGCCCTCATCAAAATAAGGAGCCACAAGAAAAAAAAAAACAGAGAGAAAAGAAGTGAAAAGATCAAATAACTTAAAGAAAAGAACTTCATATCTACAGGTCCAATTAGTGATTAGCCAAAAGGAGAGGAAGGAGGGGAATATCATATGAAAATATCAGTTCCTTTTGGATTAGCAAGCTTTCAAATTAAGCCTTCATCTTGATTCAATCTGTTAATCACGACCTATAATTAATAGTCTTTATACGCAAGCAAGCAATTTCTTCTTCTTTTCTTAGTTTGTTTTCCACATTATATTTGGCCAGAAATGAGTGAATGATGGAGATCACTGTAAAGCAAATACTGACCTCAAACTTTTTACAGAATTGGTGCTTTGGCTGATTAGTGACCAGATACAACACTTGCTCGTATCAGTTGAAGCAAAATACAAGTGGACAAGCAGCTTAATAGAAGGAAGAAGTGTTGAGATGTTCAAGTGTGATGAGTCCCACATTGGTTGGTAATGAGCTAAGTGAAGAGTATATAAGTGAAAGGACCCATGAATCCAATGCCTTAAGGTTTTGGGTTGAGACATGGTGTCGGATCCACTTGCTACGGTTGGTGTAGCCTTAGCTCATTGGTGGTGGCCCCCGCCACGGGCTTTCCCTGGACCCGCTTGACATTGGAGTTTGAGGGAACGAATTTCCCAACAGTGGTATCAGAGCCGGATTGGGCTCGAGCTAGCCTAGTGATTGGCTAGGAGGCGGGTCGAGTACTTTGCGCTTTGGGTACTCAGTTGAGGGGGAGCATACCAATGGTGGGTTTCACACTTGAGGGGGAGATTGTTGAGATGTTCAAGTGTGATGAGGTCCCACATTGGTTGGTAATGAGCTAAGTGAAGAGTATATAAGTGAAAGGACCCATGAACCCAATGCCTTAAGGTTTTGGGTTGAGACATGGTGTCGGATCCACTTGCTACGGTTGGTGTAGCCTTAGCTCATTGGTGGTGGCCCCCGCCACGGGCTTTCCCTGGACCCGCTTGACATTGGAGTTTGAGGGAACGAATTTCCCAACAAGAAGCAATTTCATTTGACCTTACAGATACAGCCTAGCTCAGAGTTTTCTTTCGTTTAGTTCTTGCTTGTAAAGAACCTTGGGATACACCACCCCAAAAGCTAGCTCAAAGGATGAGAGTGCCCAAGGCCTTATAAACTCCACATTAGTTGCTCTTCAACCAATAATGTGGGACTATATATCTCAACATTGCTTTTGTTTTTGTTTTTTTTTTTATCTCCTTTGTACTAAAAAAAAAAAAAAGTGTGTCCTCAAGCTCACCCTCTCCCACACAGCATGGGATATGTATATAGTAATATAGATTTCTATTAAAAGATATTACAACACAACTATATAAATAAAAAATAATAATTAAAGGAATGCATAACCAAGGGAGAAGTTAACGCATATCGGTAGGAACTAGGGGTGCTAAACGAGCCAGGGGCCTTTGGCTCGGCTCGTGAAGGCCTGAGCTTACATGTCTAAAATTGATTGTTGGACCCAGGCTTGGACTTGTATAAAAGCTCGTTTAATAAAAAGGCCTCAGGCTCCAATTCAAAAGCTCGGCCCTAGAGCCTCTCAGGCTTGCCTAATATATTTTTTTTTTATTTTTTATACTACTTGTGATAGCACTCTCTCTTCTCAATTCATTTCATCCTATTTTATTAATTAAACAGACTTTTTGAATGATTTTATTTTATATTATGCTATTTGGATATACATTAAATTTATGAATATTTATGAAATTACTAGTGTTGTTGATTGTAGATTTTGTTTGGGTAAATTTTTGTTGTCTTATTTTTTTTAAACAGGCTAAACCAGGTTTTTATTTTTTGTAAATGAGTCAGGTCATAGGCTGATATTATATTCGTAACAGGTAACAGGCTAAGACCAGTCTGACACATTTGAACACAGGCTCAGTCCGTTAAAACCAAAGTTCGGCTCGGTTCGTTAACACCTAGTAGGAACCATGTCAACGAACCATGTGATATGCACTTTCCTGCCATGAAAGACGGACCTTGCACATTGGCAACACGCGGTCTTTGAAAGATCAATTCAATTGGGTGTCAGGTAACACTAAAATCATTAATTAATGTTCTCCTAGTTAAGATACTTCTCATAACTTACATTTCACTGGCCCTTTCTTTCTCCATTTCTTTGCTAGATTATTCGATTATCTGGCTTGGACCAATTTTGCTTTATTTTGTCTGACTATTAGGGATCCTATTAGGGGCGTTTGACTATGTAATAAGAGATATAATATAACCCATCCCTTAATAGCCTGAGCTGTTGCATATAAAAATGAAAAAAAATTATGAAAAAAGAAAAATATTGACTTGACATGGTTTAAATGACTTTAAAAAAATAAAAGAACTAAGAGCTTACCCAGGAAGACCCAAACTCTCGAACAGAAAGCTCAAAAGTCAAAACAGCTTTCAGCCCACACAGGCAAGCTCAATTTTACTTCAACCATGGTATGATACATGCAAGGACACTGATGACTCAGAAACGACATCAGCGCTGGAAATGATTGCAATTTCGGAGAGGGAAATCGGTTCAAGTTCAAAAGGAGAGCGAATAAGAGCTATATGCCACGTTTTTTTCTGATCGGGGAGAAAAAAACAACGAAGACAATAAAGAGCGGTGAAATAAAAAATCTGATTATGAAAAGGGAGAAGCATTATAAGTTGTGTCTTCAAATTTGAAATAAAAGAAACAGATACATCATAGAAAAAAAGAGAGGACTAAAAAAATTAAATAAAAGTATCTCTTTATAAGAATAAAATGATATAAGATATGTAATTAAAAGGATAAATATTTTTCTTTTATGAAAATATATGAAGTTAGGAATAGCGAATCGTCCTTAGTCAATTTTTTTAAATTCCTAAATTTTTTTATTTTTTTTGGAGTTACCCAACCCTAATTATATCTTTGAGACGAGTTGGCTCCCTCCGGTATCCCCACGAGCTTCGACTCTTTGAGCCGGTTATGGGACTAATCCGGAGTGCGGAGGAACAGTGATGGCTAAAGGTTCAGCTCTCTCCCCAAGAATGCATTCAGCGGGAATTCCTAAATTTTTTAATCTGATCCTTCTATTAAAAAAATTGACATAATCATATAAAAAATCATAATCATATAAAGGTAAATTAATAATAAAAAAATAAAGAGAAACAATATTAAATATATAATTAAAAAATTATAATCGTTGATTCACTTATATATAATTGTAATTTTTTCACATTACCATATCATTTTTTGTTTCACATGATAAAATACATTTCTATTTTATTTACTCCTCTTGAGCACTGCTGCATCATAATCTTAAGAAGAAATTAAGAGTAAATATTACTTGAGATTCTAATTAAAAAAAATATGCATAATATCTATCTCATAAAACTAAAGTAAACAAGAAAAAATAAAAAAAATATGAATATACATGGAGAAAAATATTTCTCGTGTGTGACGTCAGATAAAATTATTTTTAATAATTCAAAATGACTTTAATTTAAAGTTTACGGGGGAAAATACAGGTATTTTAGTAAGAAAAAAAAAATTGTATCAATAATTTTATTAAAATGCGTTGGTTTTTTTTTTTTTAAACCCAAAATGACATTCATTTAAAATTACAATAGATTACTTTATCTTCAGTTGTTTGAGAAGCCTTAGTCTCTTTCCTTATAAGGTTGGGAAAAATTTATAAACTCCGATTTGGTTTACTCTTTTATTATCTACATCCTTATATTTTTTTTCTCATCAATTACATTCTATGCTTTTCTTTATCTAAGTTTATCTTTAACACGTTTGTAATTAAATTAATTTATCTATTTTATTCTTATTTTATATTTAGAGTTTTATTTATCAAAAATAAAATCTGACCCTAAAAATAAAATTGTGAAAAAGTCTATTTGATTATCACTAGAAAAATTAACGCATAACAGATGGAAGAACAATAGTTGTTGAAAGTGGGGTCTCAAAAAATTTCACAGCAATTTATAGCTGGATGTGACAAAATAAAAGAAATCACATGAACTATATATATATATGAGCATTGGCTTATCACTATGCAAATTAAGGACTTTTTATATTTCTCCTCTTATTTA